TTTCCCAAGTGGTTTTATTATAGGATTACATTTCTCCACATCCTCACCTCATTATGGTCTCTCTTTAATTTTAACCATTCTGGTGGTGTGTACTGGTATCTCATCATGCTTTTGACTTACATTTCCCTGATGATTTATGAAACTGAACATCTCTCTATGTGTCCACTGATTATATGTATAGTTTTGATATAGTGGCAATTAACACCCCCCCTTGTCGTTTTTGGACTGGGGATCAAACTTGGGACCTTGCGCTTGCGAAGCAGGTGGTGGAACCACTGCACTAAATTCCCGGCCCTCCTCCCCCCTTTTTAAAAACTGTGCTATCTTGTTATTGAAATGTAAAAGTTCTTTGTATATTCTGGTTAGAAGTCTATTCTCAGATATTTGGCAGATATTTTCTCCCAGTCTTTTCAAGAGCACAAGTTTAACTTTGAAAAAGTCCAGTGGATTTTTCTCCTACAGTTAGTGCTTTTTGTATCCAGTTAAAAAAAGACCTTCCTTTCTCCACTGAGATACCTTTGTTGCTCTGTTTTTGGTTTCCCTTGGTCTACTGGATATCCTTATGAACAGGGAATTGTCTCTGGGTAGAGGCCAAGGCAGTCACGGAGTCATTGTCCTGTGTGCTGCCCATTGTCAAGTGTCTGTTTCTTATATTTTGCCCAGTTTCCTGGTTGATTATGGCAGAAGGTCTTAATCCATTTCTGTATCCAGAGTGCCTGGCACACAGCACTCTGTAAATGTTTGTCACATGGCAGGCCTTTATCAGCACCTCCAGACGGCCTCGCTTGATGAGGAAAATCTGTGGGGGCATTGAGATCATCTGGTTCATCCCGTCATTTTACTCCATGGTTCTTTGCCTGAAGAGGTCATTTGTCCTTTAAATATCACCTCTAGCTCAAGGGCTCAGGCTACTTCCTGACAGTGAGGTTCCTGCAGAGGGGTCCAGGGCACTGGTGGGGTGAGTGGGGTACATGGCTCTTGAATTGTGCCTGCCTCAAATTGGGCTCCAGGCCTTCCCTGCATAGGCTTGGACCAAGGCCTCTGGTGCACACCTTTCTCAGGACCATTCTTCTCCATTGCTGCTTCTCTCATTCTCCCAATTGCTGTACCCATTGTGTCCTCTTGGGCTGGAGGTCAGACAAAGACTTGGACTGGCCAGCTGATCCCAGTCCCCAGAGCTGAGCCCAGCCTGACGAAGTGAAGGTTTACTTCAGAGGTTCTTTCTCCCTGCCTGAGGACTGGAGGTCCACATCTGAGCTGCTGCCCATAGCTGCCCCATCTGCTCCAGTGGGCTGTCTTGGTGGAGCTGAGATGCCTGCAGCGCTAGGGCCTTCCTCATGATACCTTGACCCCCAGGGCCTCCGTGTGGTGCCATCCTTGGTGCCTCTCCTTGGGACTTCCCTCTGCCACGCCAGGACCAGAAGTCAGGACAGCAGGCTCTGGTCAGCTGGTGTTGCATTGGCCCACTTCCCAACATGCTCTTTGTTGGCCATCCTTTATTTTGTTCTTTTATGACAACTGGAAGGTCTCTGAGCACCCTTCTATTTGCAAATGTAGCCTGTAGAGACCTTCTCTTAAATCCTCAATTTCCTTTGTCTGCTTTTTCTTTCATTTTATGAAAAAAATAAAAATTTCATAACAAAGTAATAAGAGAATAACAATAGTCAATACATTGTGCATCATTATCTTCAAAGTAGTTACTCAGAGTAAAAAATATACACCATGACATGTTTTCTGTAAGTTTTCTGAGTTGAATACAATCTGGTCTAATCAGCCTCTATTAGAGCTCTTAAACCTATGAGACTTGTTCATTGCCTTCAGGGTGACAATATTTGTTCATATTTTCTTCCAAAGGGCCATCTCCTAGATTGAATTTCTCAACAAAACCATTGGCATGAAAATGGAATTATCATCAAACCTGTTCTAAATTACATTCAGATAGTATTGCTATAGAACATTCAAAACTTTGAAAAGCTATTTAGACTCCATCCTGCTTTTTATTAAATAACTTTATTATCAAACATACACACACATACAAAAAATTAAAACCACTCAAAGAACAATGCAAGGGGGAAAAAACTACAATAATATTCAAATACAGTAGAACTCAACCAAAACAAAAATGAAAAGCACTTAAACATTTTTCCATATAACTTAAAAAAAAAGCATCTCAAGCACCAACAAGACACCAGAGGATGTGATTTGTTTCAGAGAGGTCCCCAAAACCAACATTGAACAAATAATGATCTGGAAAAAAACGTCAGTTAGTTAGCAGACTCCACATAAGCCAAACTTCTCCCTAATTTAGATTTCGATACAGTCGTGACACGCAATGGAAACACAATCCGAGAAATATGTTATCAGGCCATTTCATCCTTGTGTATACTTAATTACACTTTTAGTTTCTCACACTAGAGAAACTATTTGGTATTTACACTTATGTGTCCTATTTATTTCACTTAAGAGGATGGCCTCAATGTGCATCCATTTAGCTATAAATGTCTCTCGTTTCTCATTCTTTATGGCTGAGTAGTACTCCATTTTATTTAAAAAAAAAACAAAACCACATCTTCTTTATCCAATCTCCAGTTGATGGGCACTTGGACTGTTTCCAAGCTTTCGCTATTACGAACTGTGCAGCTATAAACATGGGTGCACATGTATCGCTGTGGTAAGATTCTTTTAATTCTTTTGTGAAGATACCAGCAGAGGGATAGCTGGGTCAAATGGGACCTCTAAGCCTAGTTGTTTGAGGTATTTCCATACTGATTTCCACAGCGGTTGCACCAATCTGCACTCCCACTAACAATGGAGAAGGGTTCCTTTCTCCCCACGCCCCCACCAGCATTTGTTATTTGATGATTTCCATCCTGCTTTTGAAATATTGACCTTTCAAATTAATTCAGTCCCTTAAACTCTGGTACTTCTGTGTCAACTTGGAACAGACTTAGGACACAGAGTGTTGCATAGTGGATTTGCCTCATACCTAATCTCGAGCCAACCACAGTGAAAATAATCAGCATTATCTGAAAGCTACTGATATAAAACTTATTCACATCTTTAAAAAATTATATTCACAAAATATGTAGGTTGGTTTACTGATAGCCAGTTACTATGCTTAGCCAAGTAACACATGAAATTAACTAGTGTACTGGGAAATGCATGTGTAGTACCTAAGAGTTTCTATGTATTTTCTAGAGTTCTAAGTATTACAATTACCTGCAGGTTTATAAGATAATGAACATATTACCTTCAATTGATTCTCTTATCTCATTGTCCACCGTTATTCTGACATATGTCTTATTGAAAGTGCTGTAAAAATTCCTTAAGGATAGTTCTGTGCCTTCAAATAGTGCCTTTCAAAGAGCTCTTTCAATGTTTTCTCACTGTGGACACAATCTAGAGTCACTGGCTTTTTTCCTTCATAATCTCAGCTAGACTATCCTTCAAATGGTAATTGTTCAAAGAACTAAGAGAACAACAAAGCATAAAAATTAAAACATAAAAAATATTTATAGAAGAGGGTCACTGTCACCAGGGCAAGGTGGCTGGCACAAAAGCACTGGTCCTAAGTTCAGGGAACAAAAGCAGAGTAGAAAAGATGTGATCACACCATAGCTAAAGTTACAAGAGAAAAAAGATATGGTATTCAACTCAGAGGAATTAGGGTGGAGGTACAAGAGTACAGTAAGCAGGCAAAGGAACTTTAAAATATACATACAGAAACTGGAAACAAATGCTGAGACTTTAATTCTGAATGCTGGCTCTGGTAATTCATTTGGGCAACTCTTACCACAATAGTTTTCTCTCATGTCCAGGAAGATCTTTCTGTACTTTTGTCATGTAAAGGATAAGCACAAATCAATTCCCTAGTCATACATTAAGAGATCATTTTAAGAAGAGAGATAGCACAATGCCAGTGTTGGCAAGAGTGAGTCTCCGCCTCATTCCATGGAGAAAAATTTTTGGATCAGGAATCACCTAGACATGATTTGAGTTCTGGTCTAATGAATGAAATCCATCCTACAGTGTCTTCCTATATGCTTTTTGCCATAAAACAAGTGTGACATGAGACCACATGGTCACTTCTATATAGAAAGAAATAGAGATATTGGTATCTAAAAGTCTAATTTGGAAATGTCAGCTATGTAGATGAACTGTCTAGAAGTGAAATTTTAGTCTACTGCAATGGTGACTTAGGAGCATCTGGAATCTTGGGCATCTGTAGAATGTACTACTCTACAGGAAGTTAGAAAGGACTCCGTAATCACAAATACCTTCACATTTCTGTAACATCCTCACCCTTACCCTACTATGGCCCAATTCTCTGTCACCCACAGCAGCCTGGCTCTTCCCTAGGTCAGAGGCCCTGATCAATGTATGACTAAAAATCTCTCTTTAGTGACATCTCCTCTTGAACTTACTCTAAGGTGACCATGCAAATGTGCTCTAGAACTATAATTTAAAATATGCTGCCATTCTGGTGTGTTGCCTATAGAGACAGTAGCCGAAGTTAAGGCTGATAGGTCTCTACATCATGGCTTCAAAGCCTCTTTTTAGTGACATGTTCTCTAGAACTTACTATAAGGTAACCAAGTGAATGTGCTGCAGCACTGCAGCTTGGAATCTACCACAATTACAGACTCACTTTTTGCAGAGATAGTGGCTGAAACTAAGTCTGGACACATAACTGGTAGTTACACAACAAGACAAAAAGAAAGCACACCTGTAAGCCAGAGAAGAGTCACTTTGAGAAGCTCTGATATTGAGAAAATAAGGAAGGGCACCTCTCCCAGATTCTAACAATATAGTTGAATGTTCATAATTTTTCCATAGAAAAACAAACCTCAGGTCAACAAGGAAAGATCATGAGTAGGAAAGTGACTGAGTGATTCATCTCATAGACTTATCTGACAGCTCTTCCTCATCCTGATCTGCATATAAGAACTGTGTTGGCTGGGACACTACTGTCCCTGGACATCACCACTGAATCCTCCACTATGCTTGCTCTCCAGCTCCTGTTCAGGGCCAGCCCTGCAGCCCTGCTTCTGGTTCTCTGCCTGCATCTGGGGATCAGCACAGCTCAGGAAGACATGTGAGCCAAGCCCTTCTCCTCCCTATAGAAAACCCATGGGCAAGGCTCCTCTCCTAACCTAGAAATTGACATGTCCCTTCTTGGAGATTTTTAAGCTTCCCAGAATGCTAGTTCCAGGAGCTTTCATGGACCTCATGGTGGATTCCACAACTCTACTCAAGGAAGCTCCATCAACCCCCCTACATTTCTTCTGGGGCTCCTAGTTTACCTGTGGAATAAGGCTTGCCATGGACACAGAGTCTGTAATTAACAATTAGTCTTTCTCCAAGCCAAATGTAGTGACTCACACCTGTAATCACACCATTCAGGAGGGTAAATTAGGAAAAATCACAAGGTCAAGACCAGTCTGTGCTACATAGCGAGTTGAAGACATGCTTTAGCTATATAGCAAGACCCTGTTTCTAAAAACAAAATTAATTGTACTCTTCATCTCTGAACTATTTGTTCAGAGTTCTGCTCCATAAAGTTTACTTTTTCACACTACGCCTCACACAAGAGGAGGTGCTGAGGTCCGGGAGTTCTAACAGCTTTGCACAGCTTTGCCAGGACTCAATGAAAGATGAGACACTCTCAGATCACCACCCCATGTTCTGAGGTTGAGGTAGCCTGCATGCACCTCGGACAAATTTTTCCTTTAAGGCAAAAGATGAAATCTAGGGCTCCTTCATCCACACTGAGACCTGGGATCACAAGTCCACAAGTACTGTACTGAGTGTTCTAGTTTGAAGGAAGCAGAAAAGTAGGGAAGTAAAATGAAGTAAAAAATGGAAGCAGGGATCTGAGAAGAAGCAGGGATATTCAGAAAACCCCTACATTTTCTCTCCAGCATCAGGCCTGAGAAGTGAGTTTCTGGACCATGATCATAGAGGTGCTCTATGAGGCCATGGCCAATGTCCTCTTGACTTGGAGGAAACTGTTCAGGGTTTTGTCAAGCTGGTGTAATGGAGGCAAACAACCTCAGAAACCCTGTGTCAGGGTAGGTTCAGATCCAAATGCCAGCAAAGAACTTAGGGCACTGCGCCTTCTTTCTTTTCCCCCCCTTTTTACATTCAAATTTTTGTCAATAGAAAAAAATGAAATTGCTTAGATTTTAACGAAAATAAATCCACACAAAACATTCAAACCAACCAACACATAATAGTGCTTGGGGAGTCTGACGCTGAGCAGTTGATCCGACCCCCATCATCCCCTCCCTGCCACTATCCCTCCCATCCTCCCACCTCATGGTGCCCATCCTCTCCCATGAACTTGTTTCTGATCTATGTGCCTTGTTTGGTTCTTCCCAGAAGCAGTCGAAAGGCGATAATACTCGATATGGACCTGCCACAGACAGCAAGAGCAGGTGACGAGGTCACCTTGACACTTAAAGTTCGGACAGAATTGAGAGAATGTATGGTGGTAAGTAGGGGCTTGGAGGAGTGACCTCAAGACAAATCTGAGTGCAAGACAAATCTAAGTCCTTAATTATGAATGTAATATAATCAGCTCTCACTTTAATATTGCTCAGTATACTTAATAAAACATTTTCATATATGTTATGTTACATGAGCCTCAGAATAATTATGAGAGCTTTTGGAAGTTGACTGTTTTTATCTTACAGATGAAGAAATTCTGTTCCAGGAAGGTTTAGGGAGGATAAGAAAGATAAAAAGAATGAATGGGCAGTGAGAGAAAAGACACAGGTGCTAGTGAAGACCTGGTAGGAGTTTCTCCATGGCTCTGAGCATGGTGCATACAGGACAGGGTCTGATCTGGGGTTGCTCAGAAGCACACATGCCACCTCATGCAGTAGATTAAAGCAGGTGGAGTAAAAAGGCACGCAGGTTCTGGTGCATCCTGTCCTTAAGCTCTACAATGAGTCTGCTTTCCTCTTGCCCTTCCTCTGCTCTTTTGCTCCATCTCTCCTGTAACTGACTTTTGTCTAGGCCTCCCTGGCCCCGCAGGGAGCTACATGCTTCTCCTTTGCATAGCTTACAACTGTCAGAGGTTTTCCAATCATGGTGCACCTAAAACTCACCCGCCGGTCCTATCAAAGGACTGAATCTGATTCAATGATCTGGGAGAAGCCAGACCTTCTAGATTTCTAACAAACTCCCAGGGCATGTGGAATCGTATATGCTGTTTTTCATTGGGAGTGAGGTTAATTTATAGTTTTTCAGTTTTGTGTTTTGTTTATCATAACTAGAGATGAAAATGTGGAAAATATGTATATGTCTATGTTGCATATGATAAATATTTGTGATAATAATAGTTTTTGGCTGTGATAAATAATAAATTTCCATTTGACTCCTGAAAAAGTGATAGTTGTATAAAATGTATTCAAGACATCTCATATAATACTGTAATCAATAAAATTAAACCTTAAGAGTAATTCTGATACAGTAAAATACATTGGTCTTTTTAAAACCCACCTAAGTCCAGATAAAAAGAAAAGAACTTCTTTAGTCTGAGTCAGTGAATTGTAAACCAGAAAGAACTTGTGTGAAAGGAAATTTTGCTAGCTTTATTCAGCCAATTTTATGTGTAGCTTTCAAGAAAAAATTAATGCAGAGCTTTTAAACACCTTCATGTTTCAAAACTTTTAGGAAAATAGAAATTTTTTATTAGTTTAAAATGTCTACCACTTGATTTTTCTATCAAATACAATGCTTTTATAACTAATATTTTGATAAAGTGAAGTCTTAGACTCATACTCCTTTTAAAAATAAAGCAGAATGGATTATACCTATAATTATGTGTTAGAATATAAAAATTATATAATACTTTAAAGCTAAAAAAAATGCTTGTGGTTAGCCACAGTGATTAAGCATTTTGTAATATGGACTATTTTATGGATCTCATAAAGCCTTTGGCACCTCTCAGAAAACAAAAATGCTTTTAATGCAAAAAGTGTGTTAGATTACTTATGAAACTAAAGATTAACAATGATAAAAGTAAATAAGATAAATATTATTGTGAAATATGTTTATTGATGCATTGGCTGGAAAAGCAATACTTTTAAACTATAAAGGAGTTTAAGTTTCATCTTACAAAGGCATGATCTGTGATGACTGCTATTGCTCAGATCGAGGAAAGAAGTACAGTAAATTGTCCTAGTCTTTGACACACATGGGACCCGACAGTCTGGACGTACAGTGGATTCTGGATGTTTAATTTCAACTATGCAAATATTGAAAATTCTGGCTCTCGTTGATATCTTCTTGCAAATACAATAAAGAGATAATACAAGGATAGGTTGTTCTAAACTCCAGGGCTCTGCAGGGTGTTCTCAGTAGCACCCAGTGGTGAGAGCGCTGGGATTTCCTGCAGGGCTGAGGGTTACTCAGGGCAGAATTGCCAGGTAACAGAGCAAGCTTCTGGGATGGGCAAATGGCAGGTGACTTCAGCCATGCAAACCCAGCCACAGGCAATATACTGTAATTATTTTTACTAGCACATATTTTCTTTGTGGGTAATTGGCACATGTACATGATACATCTATCATTTTTATGAGATATTTCAATTTGTAAAATATGATGAACCATTTCCTTCTTCCTTGTTATAAAATCACATGTAGTGCTCATGTGACTGTATTTTGTTAATGCCTTTCACCAAAAACAAAGGCTAAATGTCTACAAAGGCTTAGAAAAATGAAGACACATTTTTTCCATCTATATATGCAGAGTTTATGAATTTATCTACCAGGCTGTCTAGGATGACAGACCACAGGATAAAAATCCCTGTGTTAACACTAACTAGACATTGAAGACTAAAGTTAATACATACAATAACCTGAGATCTTAAGTTTCCAGGCACTCTTCAAGTTAATGGAAAGAAAGAAAGAGAGAAAGAAAGAAAGAAAGAAAGAAAGAAAGAAAGCAAGAAAGAAAGAAAGAAAGAAAGAAAGAAAGAAAGAAAGAGAAAGAAAGAAAGAGGGAAAGCAATAATTTCCCCTCCAGACTTCCTTAGATAATCTAACAGCCAGTTTTGAGAGGTAAATGTTCTCACAGTGGAGGCAAATGGCAGTAAAAGGAGTGACTTCAATCACTGAGGATTACAAAGTTACAACAGAGCACAGTGGGGCTTGGCCAACCTGACAAGAAGACCTGACGCTGGCGTCTACACCCGAGTAGCCAGGCTGCCATCTCAGCAGATCACAGAGTAAAAGATTATGCAGGCCAGTTGTTACAGTGTGGGATCGTGGCTGCATACACGATGAAAAAGGTACTCAGAGATGAGACTTAGTTCAGTCACCAAGAGGACCCAGAGGGGCTGATTCCAATGTCTCAGGAAACGGCAGCAAGATGAGACCTCTGCAGTTATTTATTTGTAACTCATAGACATGAGAACAAAGATATAGAAGAAAAGCATTTGTAATATATTGTATAGGAGGTTTTATCACAGGACAGGGCCAGAATGGGATGGTTTGTTACATAACACATGCCAATCTAATTTAAACAATTTTATCCTTGAAGAGGGGACACAATGGCCAAAGCAAATATCTCTGAATGCAAACTGCTTTTAATTCTGTGAACTGTTGTCCTGCAGATTCTGCTCCAAACTCTAACCGTGTATTCCAGGAGCATGTTAACTATTGTTCCCAAGGTTCCTTCATTAGCACAGTCAGAGTCAATCACGCCTTTGGCCAGTCTCCCCACAACCAATGCCTAGAATTCCACTGATAACTAAGTACAGCCTGCTCCCTGATGGGCTGTTAGCCCTAGGATGAAGCCTGTGGATTCACTTGCATCTTCCTGTGCCCTATTAACTCACATGCCTACAATTTCAGAAGGAGTTCGAAAACAGAAGGTGAAAGAACTTGACACTGACTAGCTCCTGCAGTGACATTAAGAATGTGGGCTCCCATGGCCCACCTCCAGTTTATTAATCTCTTGTCCTTCCTCCCTTTTCTATTTGCCAGACTAACACACAGTCCTCTCTCCTCAACAGATTAAAACTTACCTCATAAGCAGCAAGCCAATTGATGGTGCCTTCAACTATAAATACACGTCTTGCCTCTGTGATTATCCAAAAACCTTCTACTGGGACTTCCAGAGCAACAGTGAGTACAGGGATTGGCTAAAGGAGGGCCTGTCTACTAGGGAGGGAAAAGCAGAAACAGAACTGTCATATGAAAAAGCTGAGGGTGGAGTGGGGAAGAACAACCTGGGAGTTGAAAGAATAATACCCAGGTGCCAAAAGGGAGGCACTGCATGAGAAAAGCTAAGAAAGGTGATCAATTTGCAAATGATGTGGGAGGACTGAGCCCCAGTAGGTAGGTACCTGATGCCACCAAATAACACAGGACCCTGAAGAGTTAGTGAGGTGATTTTTGTGCTCCTCTTTTCCAGGCACTGTACGAATCGCAGCAGTGGTTGACATTATTAGAGAGCTGAATATCTGCCCTGAAGATCTAGCAGTGATACCTATCCGAGAAAATCGGGTTTATGCTTTAGATACCCTGTACATAAACTAATTGAAACACTTGTGTGTCTCACAACACCCATATAGTTTCCTCTAAGTAAGCATGGGTTGGGAATCACTTGCACATTTAAAGTAAACTTCTCACAAACTTCCTGTATTTTTCCTGTATTCTCTCCAAAATCCGTCCTAAAAACCCTCCTAGAGCATCAAATTTCTACAATGATAAATCTCTTTCTGAAAACAGTTATTGCTTGGGGCCGGGGATTTAGCTCAGTGGTTTTGCCGCCTGCTGCGCAAGTGCAAGGACCCGAGTTCGATCCCCAGTATTAAAAAAAAGAAAACAGTTATTGCTGATACTTGCTTTCTAATCTCCATAGGCAATTCACTCATGTTCAACACTTGTAGAAGTCTGTAAGAGTAAGTGACAAATATGAATTTAGAGAGTCTAACTCTGTGGTAGCAAATATTCACCAGATACAAATACAAGTCTAGGAAGCTTCTGTAAAGCCAGTTAGGCAAATCTGGGTAGTTATCAGAGATCATGAATATGAATGGGTAGGATTTGTTCAGTGCCTGAAAAACTCTTACATAGCTATGTTTCTGAAGAATGCCATCCCCAAGATAAAGTCAGTCCTTGAACTTAAGAGAAGGAGGTACAATATTTTCCATTGAACCCATGGAATCTGGGATTTCCATGTCTTAACTTGTGAAATATGAGAATTAGGTGCTAAAGAAACAAAAGTGGATCTGAAATAAGAGGCTGCCACAGCATGGTTCACCATACAGAAGTAAGGACAGAATCTTTTCCCAGCTGTGCCTATCTTGATCTCATCACTGGGAGTCGGCAGTTGGAGAGGAACCTGAAAAAACTTTGGGATTTTCTCACATGATGCAGATGTATGTGCATATGTATTTTTAAAATACTGTTCAAAATGAAGAGAAGCAGATTTTTTCCTTTTTATGTGTCTAAGCAGTAGAGAGAAAGACTTTTTGCAATAACTGAGCAGCTCCTTCCATTGATTCCGGAGACTACCATTGACCCTTTGAGGCATGATGCTTACCATATTATCACAATCACACAAGTCTATTTTTTGCCTTCTGCCAAAAGATAAGCACAGAGCGTTTTGCTGCTCTGTACCCAGTGCAAGCCAAATCTCAAGGGGATTACTGAGGGCAGTTTGAACAACAACAATTTGTTCCTTCCTCTGCAAGTGGAAAAATTAGAACACAGAGCAAGGAATTTACAAAGAAAACAAACAAAAACTAATAAAAACCAAAATCTAGTGTGGAGCTAATCATGATTTCTAATTCTTATGTCTCTTTCTCTGAGAAATATGAGCCTTTTCTTCTGGGCTTGCTATTTCTGGAAAGTCTACCAGGCTGCATAAAAGCAGTTTGCATAAAACTTATCTTACCATTCTATGTCTCCTAACCCAGTCTTGTATCTATTTATTTTACCATGTCACACCTGTCACATAAGGCCTCAGCCCCTATAAAATACTATAATTCAAATATCTTTCTTGTTCGGCCTGTTGAATCTTCCATCTTTCATTGATGGCCCTATGTTCCATGACGTTTAAAATATAAATACATTTTAATTATTAATAATTGTTCTTTTACCCTGTAACTCATTTTATACAGATAATACAATTAGGAGCTAAGGAATCTCTCACCTGAACCTGGGCAATACCCCAACCTGGACCAACCCTTTCTCCCATGTCCCACTACATATAGGCAGAAAAAACAATAACGAAGTCCTCAAGAAATTTTAAAATTTCTAAACCAGGACATATGGGTGCTACACTTGCTGGCATTATTTACAATGGCCTTTCTTCACTTGGACTTAATTAAAGGTTTACGTATGTGGACTGCATTTCATGCATCCAATTATATCAGAGTGAATTATGGAAAAGAGTAGGTGCAGTGGATATTACTGATATGACTCATTACCCTGTCAATCATGTTGTCAGTCATGCTCCGAAAGACCCAATGGGAGGTGCCCTAGCCTGGCTCACATTTTAACTCCTTAAGCTCAAGCCATTGAGCCTTAAACTCTCATGTCATTTTCCTTTTCTCCAGTATGAGTGTGCTCAACTGTCTCCTCAGCACTCATTTTTTCCTTTCAGCTGGCACAAGTTTGCTTGCTCTGGGTGTACCTTTGCCCATTAAACGTCATTAAACTTACCTGCTTTTTCCTGACCATTGAATGTCACATCCACTTCTTTGGTCAATGACCAAAAGAATCTGGAAATCTGTCCTGGGACCCCATCACTCACAGTAACACTTTCATTATTATCACTCGATAATGAGGCTGAAGTTGATAGCCTCTTGAGGAAGCCAAACACAGAAGGACAAAATTGGGCATACTAGTTCTAAAGCACAATTTTATATCCCAAAACAAAGACAATACCTCAAAAAACCAGTGAGTGTAGATGAAGAAATCTGACCACTGCCATCCTAGGCTGAACAGAGATCATGTTAACGTCCCACACTATGCTTGTGCGCCTGCTAAAGATGTACAGTCATGGGTGGTTGATAAGGCCCAGTGAGCACAGCTATAACCCATAACTCCCATCACTATTCAGCCTTGCTCTCCACAAGCAACCACAACATGCAACAAGCAACATTCTCAAGCCTTTTCCCTGGTTGCTAGTCACAACTCCTTCTCACTAAACTCTCCTCCTCCAAAGTCTCATTTTGATCATTTCCTTTCACGGTCCTCTTTTATCCCATGACCCTACAAAAGATCCAGTAACGTGTATGAGATTACCCAGTCTGGTCTCAGTGTCATGGTGGTCCTGCTCATGTTTATTTCAAAATAAACCTGTCCTGTTAGCTCATATTTCTGCTTCTGTTCCTTTTTTCCTAATAGTAGTCTTTTTCAGGAAAAAAAAAAGTGCTCTGAGTTTCAAAAACTGTCCCAAATTAACTATAGTATAAAACCTATACTACAAGCAATAGAGCCTAACCAGAAAACATGGTCATGGTCACAACCAATTTGCTTATAAGAGGAAATAAACACTGATGATTAAGGGAAAAAAAGAACAATGAAAAGAAGAGGAAAGAGAACTAATTAATAAAATAATTAACTTAAGATTATAAGTGTGAGTTTCTAAGAAAGGATTCTTTCCTTTTCTTCTCAAATAACAGAAAGGACCTTGCATCCATTATAAACACGACAATTTGTGCTTTGGTTTGAACATGACTTAAGTGTTTTCTTTAAGGTTCATGTTCTAGAAGCTTCATGCCCATTGTGGTGATGTGCGAATGGTAGTGACATAGGATATAAGAAATAAAAATGGTACAAATGAAACAGGTAAATTATAATTTTTAAATCTTACTTTAAAAAGAAACAAAAGTTTATAGTTTTTCCCTTTTGTGTTGCTCCTAAATTTCCAAGTCTCAAAAATACAATAGAATATCCTCTTGCCTTTGGGCTTCCACCTGGAAATGAGCCATGCTGTAGAAAAGACTATATCTTACCATTGTAAATTGAATCTGCATTTTGTGTAGATTGAAAAATTCCAAGGATTTCTGCCCTGAAAAACCACATAAATATCCTCAGCCCCAGACCATATGCACATCCCATACGAGCCCATCCTCTGTTTTTCCTGAATGAATACTTCTCTAATTCTGCCTTAATAAACCATTCTAATGACTCTCAATGAAGTATCCTCTAATTATTTTCTGTGACATAAGTCAGTGATCTTAACCCTGTCATGTAGGTGAGTTGAGGTTCTCACCTACTCCTTGGAGAATCTCCTCAGGACTCATCTAGAGCCAGTGCAACATTTAAGAGTTGACGCCTAGGAGAAGATGGCTTAGGACATTGGGTTAGTACCAGAAGAAGGAATTAATATAAAATTTAAAGAACCTAGAAAGTTCTTATGAGAGAAAGTTGTTATATAAAAAAAAGAAAGACTGGGCCATCATTACACTAACTTCCTTCTCATCATATGATATTCCCTTCTTCCTCAAGCTTCTGCCATGTTGCTAGCCACCATATTGTGATATTATCTGGAGATTTCCTCACCAGAGATGGTCCATGTTCTTTGGAATTTCAGCTTTCAAAACTGTGGGTTCAATAAACATGTTTCTTAGTATATTACCCAGATGAATTATTTCATTATAACAACAAAAAATGGATGAATACATTCTGGATTGAAAACTTCCAGAAGAGCATGTCTATGGCCAGTATACTAACGGCTAGGAAGCAGAAGAGGCTATATCTAAGTGGATAAATGGAATAAATGAGTCCACACATATTGGACAATATGGCAAGCGTAGACAAGAATGCCATTTCCTCCTACAGCACAGCAGGACAATTGAAGAGCCAGTACAGCAAAACCTTTTTCTCAACAGGGACCAAAAGGGTAGAATTTGTGTCTCTCATACATGGAAGATAAAAGGTAGAATAACATCATTGAAACAGATATCATGGGTACAAAATTCAGGAAGGCCTTGCTTCCATCAAGGTGGGGCTTGAGACAAAGGCAAATGTATAGGAAGCTTATTTGGCTTAGTGATGCCAGAATGGAGGAACAGGAAGAGCCAGATACTTCCATTGGCAGATATCCATTTACTTACTCTGCCTGTTTTGGGAACATTCAAGCAGACCCTCAGGAATTAGTCCAACTGAAGCTCAGACAATGGAATTGGCTGTGGCCAAATGCACCTATCTGCAGATATTGGTGGATGTGCATTACCTTCCTGCCTCATCAGTGTTTAAGCAGAGCCCCACAGGGCTGTGGGGAAGCTAGTTATGGACTTGAGCCTGGCAGGACTACAGATGAGGTTTCTAGTAGAGAAATGTCACTGTCCAGCTTCTCTAGTACAGTTCCTCCAGTGTTTAGCATACAGAGCCACTATAAACTCCTACACACAGATTACTGCAACACCTCCATTGTTTTTCGTTTCTAATGCCCCCTTGTGCTCTAGCTCTGGTAAAAATCTCCAGTGATTGCTGTAGGATGAGACAGAAGTGGGCTTCTGAAAAAGGGTCTTAGAGAGATGAGGAAGCTGGACATTCACTTTTAATTGTCTGCTCCTACT